AAAAGAATTCAATGACCAGTTACGAAGGGAAAAATCGGTAAGAGTGAAGCATTTCCTGGGGGCTAATATTAGACAGCGATATGTCTTCAGGCTTTGGACGTAGAGGTCCAACTAGATAAAGCCCTGAGCTGATAACTGACCTCGCTTTGAGCAGAAGGTTGGCCTAGAGACATCCTGAGCTCCCTCCCAACCTGACTTGTCCTGTGATCCTACATCTTTGCCAAGTGCCAGACACAAGGCTGGAGCGGTGGGACTCTGCTAGCGTCCATCAGCAACCAGGCTCAGCGTGTCTCTTACCTGGCCAAGTTCTCCACCATCCCATGGGCCTGACCTCAGATTAAGCACGGGGCTAGAGAAGGGCTCTTCTAGCTGTAGAACAAGAGGCTGCAAGGGAAGGAGGTGTGTGTTACATGTGAGACAGTGGTACCACAGGGGAGATTTTAATCAGGGCTTTTCATACTCTGTGAGGAAACTCTTTTCGGCCCAAGTCACAAGAAACAAGCAGAGACGGTGTCCATGGAAGCAGCCTTGCAGCTTGACTCTGTGGCACAAGGTGTGTACGGGGAGAGTAACAGCAATGGCTTTTCCCAGTGACCGAGACATTGCTTATCCTACTCCCGCAAGAGTCCACAGCTTGCTTAGCTTTGAGAAGAGCTACTGTTCTCCTCGGGGCCCAAGTTGACCCTCCGTACGCCACTCCCCTTGGGCAGCCTGGCTCCTGCTCTCTTAGAGCCCAGCCCACTACTCAGTGAGCTGCGTGGCTCCATGGAGGGACATCAGCTCTCCAGGGGCACCTGCAGAGCTGACCAAGCTCCTCAAATGTTTTTCAAGGTTTGAAAACACCACAAAACTTGGGTTTTGGGGCGTGTATTCAAAGTGTCCCATTCGACCTAGATGATGGAGTTACCCATCACATAGGCTCTTACAGTAATCCCTCACCTGTCTGACTGTATCTGCATTGTCTTTAAAACACGTTAAAGAACAAACATACAGAAACAACTCTTGAAGAAACTAAGCTGGGATGTGGAGTATGGGCGTCCCTGGGAAAGATGGCACATGGAGCATTTAGTTGTACGGCCTTCCCCACCAGTGGGGCTAAAGCAGGCTTGTGCAGAAAGCCTTTTCTGAGCACACCCAGGCTGCCAGGCGGTGGTGTGAGTGGTTCCTTGCAGCCTTGCTTTGCTCCCCACCGAAAACACTCCCCGACTCTGCCTGGCTTCACCGCGTTTGTATCGGTGCATCCTGCCTGCCACAGGGTATTTCTGCATATGCTGTGACTTGTGGGAATTACTTGGCCACCAGACAGCAAAGGCAGCAAACGCCACAGTGACCATGACCTCCTTGCACATAGATGTTGCACCACGAAGAGGCTTTGCCGCTTTGAAGCCAGGCTGCCCTTCCCTGAGGAGTGCACAGGTACATCTACTGGATGTGGCAGCGGCGTCACTGGCAAATGCTGTGTGGTTTCATTCTCTCAAAAAATCCTGAACTTTCACGTTCCTCTTTCCTCTTCAAAATCTGCTCTCCTTTGCAATGAATGGCATTAGCTGCACCATCACTTTGTACTTAAAACCTCAGCGTTCCTTTGAGCTTCTCTGAAGTGAACGATGGAGCTATTGATGCCGCTGAGCTTCTTCAATTTTCCTTGCAAGCGGCGGTAAGCAGGCGCTTCTCAGAGCCGTATCTGAGCTGTGTTGAGAGGAACAAGAACGGGAAAACAGTTCCTAATGCATTACAGTTTAATACTAGAAGTGATGCTGTTTAACGGGGGGTGGGCTTTTCCAACAGGTTTAACCCATGTTTTTCCAAACCTGAAGCGTGCAGCATCATGACTCCTTCCCTTGCAGAGCAGGAATTGTACCTGAGAGCAGAGCAGCTTTAACTGTGCTGTGGAGAGCAGACACTGACTCAATAGATTGCAAAACTTGGAACGCCAAAGCAATATTGTCTTCACGACGCACTACAGAAGAGAAAACCAAGGGTCCAGGGCCAGACTCCATGCTCAGTTCTCTTGGGGGGCAGAGGAGTCACACGAGACAGGCACTGCCATGAGGTCTTCCCCCAATAAACTTTTCAAGACCCTGGATTCCTTCAAATTTAACTTTTATAAATCCAATAAGGTTTCTATTGGCACACGCTCGTTCTTTACTCTTGCTGGTACACTTTGGGATGGAAAGCTCAGTGCTAGGGGACAACCCACCTAAGTATAAAACTTAATTGCAGATTAACTCATTTGGAGCTTTCACACTCTTCCGTATATGACTCAAATGAAGTGATTTTTATTGGTTTTTTGCTTCTCACAACTGCATGCATTTGAGCATGTCTGAAGTCTTTTATAGACTCAATACCGTTTGGTTAAATAAACCATTC